CGTGGGTTCAACCTCCAATACTGTCAAAAAAAGAAAAAATACATTTCTTGTGGGGTAGAGTGGTAGAGAGGGGATTTTCATCAGTCAGTTTCATTAAAGTGCTTTTTAAATACATGGTTATTTTTCTTATTTTAATAATGTTTTTCACCTAAAGAGATAGTATGTGTTACTTTGTTGGCCAAGCATGGTATTTAAGTAGTATTTACTGTGGGGAGCCTCATCAGCTGTTCCAGATGGCTGGGTATTCCCCTTCGTAATGCAATGTGAAAAACACTGCGGGTGACCAGGAATATTGATCTTTCTGTACAACTTTCTTTGGGCTTCAGGCTGAATACATCTGGGTTCACTTACTATTAGTATGAATTGCAGATTGTACTGGGGTTATTTCTTTGACTCCTGCTTCTCTGAATTTTTAGAGCGCAATCTGTTGTGAAGAAAAATTTCTCTTTCCATATACATGATTTTGCTTCTACTTCTAGGGGAAAAATCAGAGGAATGTGAGGAAAACACCTGTTAACTATGAGTTGGGCATTCCTGAAACTGGAACTCTGTTTTAAACTCAGTGGAATAGATGTTTAGGCCTGGCTTGATTTCTAAACTGATTTCTTTTTATTTCTCTTTCTTGAAGAATCACCTTATAAAGCTATAGAAAAAAATCCAAGTGTTTTTTCCTGTCCCCATACATATAGTGCAACTCAAAACACTCTGGTGTTTTTTCTTCCCACACCAAGCAAACAGTTCTGCAGTAGACTGTCCAGTGCGTGCCAGCTAGGCGTCCTCTAATTTGGTTCTGACACTTTCTGCCTGGAGATTGCATCAGATCCCACAAGTTGAGGGTTCAGGACCATAGATGCCATTTGCCAAGTGGTGAGTTGTTACTTGTACTTCTTTGTGACTGGCAGTATACTGAGGTTCTCATGACCTGCTCTGTGGGTTGCTTTAACTTGCTGGAGAGGCTCATAGAACTCAGGGAAACACAGTACTTATAGTCACTCTTGCTATAAAGGATGTTACAAAACTACAGATGAACAGCTGGGTGAAGAGATGCATAGGGTAAGGTATGGGAGAAGGGGCATGGAACTGCCATGCCCTTTCCAAATGGCCATCCTCCAGGAGCTGCCATATCTTTAAGATCTATCAAAAGCCCATCCCAACCCTATCCTCTTGGGTTTTTATGGGGGCTTCTTTATGTAGGCACAATTGATTATATCATTGGCCATTGGTGATCAACTCTGTCTTCAGCCTGTCTCCTTTCTCAGAAGGTTTAGGGATGGGGTTTAAAGTCTTGACCCACTAGTTATGGCTTGGTCTTTTCCTGTGACCAGCTGTCATCTGGAAGCCTCTTCCTGCTACCCAATTTCATTATTAGCATACAAAAGATAGCTTGTTTACTCCAGAGAGTCCATGGACTTCAGGAGCTGTGTTTGGAAATGAGGAATACCAGTATCACAGCTTTCAGCAGTTCCTTAATGAGTGCCTTCAGCACTTACTGATAACCCCATTTCACACATCAGGAAGTAAGTACCCTTTTTTTGATGTTGCCCTTTCCAGCTTAGGAGCGCTTTGCAAATTTTCTTTTCTGAAGTTCTGTAGGTCTATATATAGTCATGCTATTTCTTTAAAGGTTTAAGAAAAGCAGAAGAGATCGATAATAACAATAACACAAGAAAAATAGGTAAAATAAGCTATGTTTAAAATCATTAAGGAGAAGAGGCTGTCTAAAACCTTGAGGGTGGTCTAGAATTGGGAAGTACCACCCTAAGCAACCTTGATGTAATGTCAGTCTTTGTTCCAGATGGACAGTATAGTAGTGAATGATCTGAGAGAACAGGGTACACAGGTTTCCATGGCAAGATAAAGGGAGGGATGTTTAGGCAATACCTTGAAAGACTGGAGGCTAGCTAGGCATTTCACGCAGAACTGTAACGTGCTCAGTGTAGAGATGGGGCAGGGTAGGAGGTTGGGCAAGTTACCTAGGCTGTGTTTAAACTTACAGGCTTCCTGCCTTAGCTTCCCAGAGTGATGGGATGACAGGTGTGCACCACCACGCCTGGCTGCAGTTATGGGTCTTGAATGGGAATGGTTTTGGGTTTTTTTTTAAGGAGTTTGGGCTAAAATACAGAGTATGTATCTCAGGTTAGAGAAGAGACCGGAGAGGTAGGCATACTAGTTCATCAAGTGTCTCATGCTGTGCTAAAAAATGATTCCATTTGTAACTTGAAGGTGGAATAAATAGTTGTGCAGTTTTTAATAGAATAGTGTGACTTACTTTAGAAAGATTACAAGTGTGGAAGATGCATGGAGGGTTGGTAAACTGTAGGTAAAGGAGATGAAGTTGAGACTTGCTGCTGTGAGAAGTGATGGGACCCAGAACTCTGGCAGCAGCAGCAGGAGCGGGGCTTAGGTTTGCAAGCTGTCACAGGACTCAGGAATTACTGAACATGAGGACATCGGAAAGGAGGATGTCTGGGATGGCTTCTGTGTCCTTCTTGTTAATTTGGAGAAGAGAGGTGTTACTGGGAAATAGAATCTAGAAGGATTGGTTAAGAAGGGTTAATTGAGAGTGTGTTGAATGTGATAAAGCGTTTGATAGAGATGTCAAGCAGGCAGGGGCTATGCAGATGTTTGACTTTAGAGATTGCGGATATTGGTATTAAAATCGTAAAAATTGCAGATGGGAGTGAGACCTTGTGGGTAGAGCTGGAATTGAGAGGAAAGGAAGGCTGGGAAATAAGCAGAAGTAGATGGAAAGGAAGGAACAGTGAGGACCCAGCAGGCAGAGGAGATGGGGATTTAGGGAGGCAGTGTTGTAGTTAATGGCTTTAATCTTAGTGGCCTGAAGATTGCCCTCTGGCTCGGACAGCATTACAGCATTCTATGAGTGGAGCAGGTGTGGGCTTAGTGGGTTGGTGAATGAATGAGGGCGACACCTGCTGGACTCCCAGAAGCTGATCTGTAGAGGGGGTCTAGCGGGGACCATAGCAGGGCCCAGGGAGGTAATGGTGAACCTTTTAGAGATGAGGGCCCAAACTGTAACCCAAAACCTACTTATTTATCACAAAGTGCCAGCACTGCAATTAGCCTGAATACTGAGGTGTTAGTTTAGAAAAAACAACTCATTTATTAAAAGAAAAAACAGTAACAGAGTTTTCAATGATACGAACAGCCTGCTGTGGCACACATGCCATAGGTTCACCACCACTGGCCAAGGGAAAGCTTTAGAGAATCAAATACAGTGGACCCTTGAGTTACAACCGGTTTGACATACAAACAACTTGGATTATGTCTGGAATTTTAGTTTTAACTTACAAGCAAAACCTTTGAGTTATGACCCAAGTGCTGGTCATTTGTGTTTCCAGATGGTCTCAGATACAGATTTAACTCCTAAAGAGTTCTGGAGAGAACATTACAACATCCCTTCCTGTGTGAGGTTAGTTGAGGAATCCTGGGCTAGTGTCTCTCTAAGGACTCTGAGAGCTGCCTGTATACAGTAGAGAGACTTTGAAGGCTGTGTACAGGAGCCTGAGACTTCGTTGACCAATTTAAGTTACATCCAGCCCTTGGGAATTGATTGAGTTCATAAATGAAGGGTCCACTGTAATCTCTGTATGTTCTTAGAAGGTAATGTAGTGGTTCCATTTCATTTTCAGAAGCTTGAGATGACCTTGAAACCATTCAGATTAACTTGCCATTGTATCCCTTGACTAATTTTTCTCTTCTTTTCTTTAGGTAAAATTCAGTAGGTATTAATTATACATTAAATTCATTTTCTGACCGTAGATATTGATTGTAGATCTGTCTGTTATTTTTTGAAAGTGTGTCGGGAAGGACATCTTAAATTTGTCCTGCCCTTCCCCTACATGCTCACGCAGGTGCAGAAGGTGAATGTGGCCTGTAGGGAAGCCTTGTCCATCTGTCCCTGCGCCTCCCGCTGTGCACTGCTGTCTGTGTTCCTTCCCAGCATCTTCAGATAGGTTTGTCCAGTGAATTCCTCAGTGTGCACGAGTAGGACTCATTGTACTTGAACGAATTTGTATTTTAAAAGAATGAGCCTTTTGTTATTTTCCCCCTTTTTTTGGGTGATGCTGTGAATTGAACTATTAGAGATGATACCTTCTACAAATCTGTGTTCTGTTTATGTTAAGGTTATCCAGCCTAGCTTTATATTCCCGTAGTCAAACATAAAATTAAGCAGTGCTGGTGGCACGCGCCTGTAATCTCAGCACTTGGGAGAATTGCAGCGAGTTCAAGACCATCATGGGCTATATAATGAGTTCAGGGCCATCCTGAAGTAAATAATGAGACCATATCTCAAAAGGGCAAGCAAGCAAGCGTGCATGCATTCTATTTCACGGAATAATTGATATAATCAGTCACATTTTCAATGAGGTACAAAAATAAAACTATAATTTATAGACATCTCATTAAAACAATATTGTCTTTATGGATTCAGTTATGTCCACTTTTGAGTGCCAGTGTCACTCCCCTTTGTGCTACTGGGTGGATCCTCAGAGGCTGTGTGTGAGGAGATACTCAATGTTGTAGAGCCCAGACCAAGTGTTCTCCAAAGGGCAGGCACTTGTGTGCCAATGCACAATTATCTCTGAGAAGAATTGTCATTCTAAGCTCCAGAGTGACCCGTAGGTAGGAAGGTCACAGATTTCACAGTTAATGCAGAAGTCACTTCAACTTGAAATTTGTATGTACCAAATATTTTATGAAAGACTTTAGGCTGTGAGATGTGATTATGTTAATTCAACAACAAATATTTATAAAAATATTCTATAATATAGGGAGATTTAAAGGTAGCATTGCAGGTTTGTATGGTAGAATGCTATACAATCATTAGTTTTGGGAGCATAATGATAGAAATGTCTGTATTTTGTGAAAGGTAAAAGTCTTATGTGATACCCATTTAAAAACATAGTCACAGAAAAAAATTAAATGAATTACATAGTAATGATCCAATTGAAGAGGCATAAAATATTTTTCTATTTCAGCTAATCTTCCAGTGCCAACAATTGCAGCAATAGATGGACTCGCTTTAGGTGGTGGTCTTGAACTGGCTTTAGCGTGTGATGTTCGAGTGGCAGGTGAGAACTGATCCTATTAAATTGTAATTTTAAAAAAATGAAGTCTGTATGTATTCTACAGATAACTCCAGATACTTTGTTCTATTTCCTGTAGAACATTTTCAAAAAGTTACCTGTTGGGCTTAATTATTTGTTTAAAATTCTCCTTAAAACAGTCTTTTATTCTCTCTCACTCATTCTTAACAGTAGATAAAGATGCCAGGATTTGGGTGGGAAAGACCTGAGTTGAAGCTTAGGTTCTGCCCTTTTAGATCACTTTTGTTTTCTCTAAAATGGGGGACATGGCTTTTTCTGTGTGAAATTAACCTATAAAGTTGACCTGTGGATGGGCTTAATCATAGCATTTTAGTAATTGTCAGATGTAGTAACAAAACAAACCTTTGAATCCATTCTCTTCCTGAATGGTTTTCTGAGTACTTAGGAGGCAGTTACAGATATAATGAAAACAACGCTTACCACTACTGAGGGCTGAGCAGGTACCTGGTATATGCTAGATGTGTGTATATCAGACTTACTCAGTCTGCCTAGCAACCCCTGATCATGGTATCTTGGGATATATGAGGAAGCTGGAGTACACAGAAGGGACGTCAAAGCCCAGAACTAGTGCCTAAACAGGGATCCAGCCCTCACTTGTTATGGAGCAAGTACCAGTCTTCCATGTGTTGTGTTCTAGATACTACATTCATTGATATCTCTGACACTGCCTATGTCACTGGGCTCTGAGACTTGAGGGGGGAAGTAGATAGCAGAGTTGGCACTGTTTTTCCCTGGTTCCCTTGTTACTTCTGATGTGCCTGCATATTAAAAGTAGAGTTAACAAAATTTGCCTTTGAATAATTTTACGTGGCTTTGTCTTGGGATTTGTAGTTGCATGTGTACTCTTTCCTCCTTTCTACTTTATTTTAGGTCCCCCTCCCTTTTTTTTTTTGGTTATGAAAGTATTAGTAGTTGTTTTTTCTGATGATGGGGACTGCTTAGGTTTTAAACTAAAGAGCTAATCCATTTTGAAAGAATCCATGTTTTGGGAATAAGGATGTAGGAAATAGTCATAAGTACATTTGTATATGCTTATAAAGAAAATTAAGATGCAGATTATTCACACCAGGGAAACTATTCGGTATTTACACATGTGTGACTTATTTATTTCACTTAGGAGTATATCTTCAATGTGTATCCATTTTACTATGAATCAGTCTATTTTCTCATTCTTTATGGCTGAGTAATATTCCATTTTATAGAAAAACCACATCTTCTTTATCCAGTTTCCAACAGATGGGCAACAATGCATAAGATTCTAATAAGATTACTGACATTTAGAAATGGGAAGAAAGGAGCTAAAGGTGTAGGGAAGGTGGGATGGGTAGGGCAAGAGTAGAAAGGGAAAAGAAAAAAATGTGAGAGAATGAAAAGATGAAAATAAAGTGTTCGTAGATGGGGAGGGGAGGAGGGGGTGAAGGGAGGGCAGAGGTAAGGGGAAAAAATGAGAATCAAGACTTGTCATGTAGAGGTACAAGATCCCAACAATGAATGTAACTGTACTGTATCCCTAAAATGTACCAATAAACTCAATTAAAGCTGAAAAAGAAAAGAAAATTAAGATGTAGTGATGAATCTATGAAAATAAACACAAAAAAAGGAATCCTTTTCATCCATCAGCACAATAAAACTCTATGTTGGAAAGTAACTAGAGACTTGGTCTTGAGAAAAAAGGAATCCTTTTCCACCATCAGCACAATAAAACTATATGTCAGAAAGTAACTAGAGACTTGGTCTTGAGAAGTTGCCATATCCAATATGAGATATTAAGTTGTTCAGTCCGGGGGAACTATTCAGGCAGTTAAAGAATTCATCCTTGTCAGACATAATCTCTCTCACAATCCTGAATAATTAATGGGGATCTAAGCCTTCAAATATGACTTGAAGGTATCAAGTGTAATAATGTAGTTACGGATCTGGTCTTCCACCACCAAAACTAATTCACTGCCAAGCACTGTTTAACAGTGTGATTCTTCTTATGTATGTCATTTAGAGTGTTGATTTTCAGAAATAAGTATCTCTTCAAGTTGTTTTTTAAAAAAACTGTGACACCAGTTTAATTAGTATGCAGAATATTTTTGGTGTATCTTCTTTTACTAACTTTCTCAGGTTGTCATATTAGAATGTGATGATGTGGATGTTCCTTAATTTTCTTTGTTTCTTTTTAGCTTCCTCTGCAAAAATGGGCCTAGTTGAAACAAAGTTGGCGATTATTCCTGGTGGAGGTGAGTTGCTCACACCCATCTCTTAATACCTTTGCTTCCCAGATGCAGGGTATAAAGCAAAAATTAATAGGAAAGGCAATATTATGGGTGAAGAGACTGTCAATGCCACATTAGATAACTAATATGTGAAGCCATCCTCTTTGATTTTCTAGCATGCCCATAGCGTAGTCCTTCTGTAAAGTTGTACTGGCTGTTGTTGCTTTCTTTTCCGGCTGTCTCCTATGCTTTTCTGTTTTACTTCTGAAGTTTTAAATTACAGTCCACATTGGTGTCACATTTGAGTTTGTTTTTTTTCTAAGAGTTACACAGCTGTTGTGAAACCTGTATGCATACATTTGAATGTGTGCTTCCTCACTGAGCTTAGACCTTTTTGTGTATAGCCAGACTCTGAGTGGAGGAGGAAAAAGGGCACTGACAGAATACATGAGCGGAGCTCCTCAGGTGAAAAACTTTATTTTGGCCCTAGTCTGGGTTGGCTGGCTTCATGACATTTTGGGCCTGTTGCATAGGAACTGCTGGAGTCATGATAGCTGGGATGCTAAGATGGAGAGAAGGGATCACCTCATACATTGCCCTTCATGAACGTGTCTCCAGTGACCTACTCTCTTTCATGGGTCCCCAGTCCAAGACAGTCTCCCACCTTCCTGTAGCACCATAGGTGGGCCTAGGCTTCCACAGATGGGCCTTTGGGGGACAGTCACATTCACATTATAGCAACCTCCAGGCTGTGGGCATTTGTTTCTCTATAGCAGGTCAGAGGTTGGGGTAAGTGAACAGCTTGAATTTGTACCTAAAGAGCTGGTTTTTGTTTGTTTGTTTTTCCCTGTTGTTACAGAAAATAAATTAGCTGTTGTCATAAGTTAGCTGCTCTTTTTCGCAAAACCAATTAAGAAAGTGCCTTTGTAACATTGATAATGAAATCTTACATCATCCAGTAAATCTGAAATTTTTGCTATTTTGATTCAGAGAATTTGGAAATATTCCCATTTTGTGAAGTCATTCTTTCAAAAAATAGACTTTTGTGCATGGCATAGTAACCCTTCTTGGTAACTTTCACATGTAAGTGACCATTTATCAGTATGTGAATGAAATAACCATCTAACAATGTAACAGTTATTGTTGAACACAACAGACATGATGCATATGAGTAGGTTAAAATTTTGTTTAACTTTATTATATAGTATTTATATAATAAGTATAATACTAATATATAATAATTAGTGTTTGTTGGTAGAAATGAAGGCATAAGTTATAGTGAACTGAACATAATCCGCCTACATCAGTGTGTGAGACTTTTTATTTGGTAACCCAGAAAAGGGCTGTTTTTGTTGGCCCAAAGCATTTCATGTTTGCCTGCCTGAACTACCATGCCTACATTGTTTACAGTGATTAATAAAATCACTGGAAAGATTTAGGAAGAAATGGGCCCACTTGAAAATAACGAGATAACTGATATTGTCAAGTAAAGTAAAATTGAGAAAAAGCATGGCATGACATGTTTCTGAAATCCTTTAAGAAACTAGCATTCATTGGTAATTTAGATATAACTAATCCTAGAGAGAGAGTGGCCGCAGTGGTTTGACTGGTGCATCCTCCCTCCCACCCCAGCATATGTCAGCCTAGAACCTTGGGAAAAGGACCATTGCAGATGAATGTGATTAAAGGAGCTTGAGAGGAGCTCATCCTGGATTATCATAGGGGCATTTGAAGCCAGTGAGGAAGTGTACTTTTAAGTAAGAAAAGACACATAGAGAGAGAGATCCTGTGAAGACAGAGGGGAGTGACACATAAATCCCAGCCCCTTTTATTATTATTATTTTTTATGTTGAGACACAGTCTTGCTAAATTGCCGAGGCAGGGCTTGACCTTGGAATCATCCTGCCTTGGCCTAACCAGAGTGTTGAAATTACAGGTGTACACCACTGTACCAGGCTTATAACTAATTTTTTTTGTCATTAAACCTGGCTTTATCTTTTAACTTTTCATTTTGAAATAATTTAAAGCTTATAAAAGAGAATAAAGCATTTCCATCTACCCTATACCCAACTTTCACAAACATGAATGTTCTTATATGACTATAGCTGATGTACTGTTTCTAATCTGTAGACCTTATTCATGTGCTACCAGTTTTTGCTCAAATGTCCTTTTTTTGTTTGCTTGGTAGATGACACAGTTCAAAAGTTTATGTTGCATTTAGTTACTGTGTTTCCTTAGACTCATGATCTGGGGGGGAATTCTTATGAATATTTGTCTTTAATAGCCTTGACAGTTTTGAAAAGTGCTAGCCTATAACTTTATAGAATTTCTCTCAGTTTGGGTTTGCCTAATTTGTCCTCATGCATAGCTTAGGAGTGTGCATTTTTGGCAAGAATATCACAGAAATCTACTTTTTTTTTTTTTTTTTCTTCCCCTGGCACCAGGGATCAAACTCAGGTCCTTGAACTTGCAAAGCAGGCGGTGGAACTGCTGAGCTAAATCCCCGGCACAAATGATCCGATATGAGATACTAAGTTGTTCAGTCTGGGGGAACTATTCAGGCAGTTAAAGAATTCATCCTTGTCAGACATAATCTCTCTCACAATCCTGAATAATTAATGAGGATCTAAGCCTTCAAATATGACTTGACGATATCAAGTGTAATAATGTAGTTATGGGTCTGGTCTTCCACCACCAAAAACTTAATTCGCTGCCAAGCACTGGTCCTGCTCAGAGCTACCTGCTGGGGGTGCATGATGCTTATGTGCCTCATTATCAGTGATGATAACTTTTTTCCTTTAACATTATATATGACATTTGCCTAACTTGCCAATCTTTCTGTGAGAATAAATGTTTTTGACAAGTAAAATTTCATAGATTTATGGCATGCAACATGATGCTTTGATGTACGCATCCACTGTGGCACAACTAAATCGGCGTAATTGATGTATGCACTACACACCCTCATGTGGGTGTGAAGAGAACACGTCAGATCTGCTCTCGGCACTTTTCAGGGATACAGTATTACTGTTAACTGTAGTCACCACAGTGTACAAGAGGTCTTCTGACTCCTTTCCTCCCAACTGAAATGTTGTAGTCTTTGACCACCACCTCCCCAGCCCATGCTCCCAAACACTAACTTCTTTTAAGAGTTTAGGCAAATTATCTTACGGAGGCTTGTACATTCTGGATTTTAATACTGTTTCCTCATGGTTCAGGTTTAGATTTAAAATATTTGCCAAGAAAATTGAATTAGTGATGCTGTTTATTGCATTTGGCATTTCATTATGTGGTATTTAATGTTGTTGTTTGATTTTTGGTGATGGTAACTTTGGTGATTTGGTTAAGGTAGTGACCAGCTGTGGGTATCCTTTTACTGTTCTCTTTGAAACTTCATGTATACACACGCATGCACATGTACACACACACACACACACAAAGGGACGGAAAGTGGTGAGAGGGAGGAGGAGAAAGAGGAAAAGGAGAGAATATGAATATGAGTGAGAATGAATTAGAATCTATTGGAGCCTTCAAGTTTTAGGGAACCAGCAAAATACCCTTGAGTTTTGTACATTTTCTGCTTCCTGGGATGAAGGTTGCACATTATTACAGTCTGTGTTAATAATAAAGCATTCTCTTGGCATATTTTCCAGGAACTCTTTTATTTTAAGGTGTGTCTATGAAGTAATGACAGATTTTTAAATCTTGTGAATGTGTGTTGTCCTGAACACAGTTGTCATTTTGGAAAGCTTTATTTATAGCCTTTGTTGAAATTCTTTTAGAATTTACATCAGAATCTGAGTTTATCTTTTGAATATCATCAGCAGTGACTCATCTTTATCCTGTGAGAGTGACTTTGATTTTCATAAAAGAGCAAAGGATCATTGTGTGCCAAATCTGATGAATAAGTTCATACTGATTCAGGGAGGAAAAAGGTATAATAAAAAAAAAAATCAGACTGATTTCCTTAAGAGGCTTACATAAAGTCACACATCTTACCAGTATTGTGAACAATAGACAGCATTGTTAGGCTTACTTTAGAGCTGCCTGAGTTTAATAGCACTCTCACACCCCGAGTCTAGCATATCACACACACGTACGCACGCACCGTACACTCTGAAGGTCTCACTGAAGATGTGACCATCCCCTTGTTTAATTAGGATGCTTGGGGAGTTGTTTGTCAACTTCTCACTGAGCACAGGCCATTTTAATTGCCATGGAGGAAACTGATAGATGTAGGACTCTGTACTGCACCCTTGGAATTGATGATCTAAGATCTAATAAGAGATTAAACATATGCATAAGTATCTTAATGGCCCTGTTATAATAAAGTTGGTAATCAAACAGAAATAAGGCAATTTAAAGTTAGGTTCATGAGTTTAGAGAAAACATTATGGCTTCTGTGAGGCATCATGAAAGCAGAAGGAGTAGATTTTATTTGGCAAAGTCTACAAAGTAGGTACCTGGCCCCCTCTGACATCGGTCCATACTGCTGCTCCTCTTGCTCCACACTTCCTGTTTCATTCGTATGTGTTCATCTAGCAGCCAAATATTGAATCTTGCTCTGGTGTTGACATGAGGTTGTAGCAGTGAAAGAACGAGATCCCTTTACCGTGCATGTTATGTTCAATCACAGGAACAGTAGACACAGCAGATGGTAAGTTGTACATTATGGCAGAAGGAAGAAGTAGAAAAAAGGAATCTGAGAAGGGTGCAGGTTTACACTTTTAAACAAGAAGTTCAGGGCAAGCCTAATTGGGATGGTAACACTGGAGTTAAGGCTTAAATACTTGGAGCAGTTTATTCATACAGATTTGAAGAAGACCATTTCAGACAAAGGTCATACCTAGTAAAACAGGGTGAGTATGCTTGGAGCGTTCACTGTGTCACTGGCAGGGAGGAGGGGGACAAGAATCATAGGTGTTCTGTCAGAGGAGCAAGGTGAGGGGTAGTGAGGTCATGGAGGAGTTTATTATAGCCATGCTAAGCACTTTAGTTTCTACTGTGAATGAAAAGAGTACTCA